CAGTTTTTTTTGTAGTTTTACAGAAGAACTTAGTATTAATGAAAGTAGTACCCTTAGATAAAACATACTCCCTTAGTAGATTTCTCATCCTAATGGAACAGCTGGAGACAATGTTATTGTTAGTTCTGTACGGTTTTCTGCAGATGTCGTGTTTTGTTTAAAATTTGTTTCCCGTTATTACAGCCATTTAAAACCTCGTTTAACCAAATAATACGATCTAATCATAAACAATAACTTGTCCCCTAGTTATATAACCAAACCGTAAAGCACAAATCAAGAAATTAACCCTAAAATAATAGAAACAAAGTTTCGTCAACACTAGCGCCCATGTGTCACGTACATGAACTAGACACGAAAAACGTGCTTCAAAATTTACAATGGGATGAGAGGTCTACTTGTGTTGGTTAGTCTATGGTAGTATCGTACTGATTCTAATTTTGTTTTGATTCTACCATCTTGCCATATTGTATGTTAACAACAGTGTAGATATTTAGATGATTTAAGTGTAAAAATATATATTAGTTGTATAAATTTTAATATGTGTTGGTGAAATAGTACGTATTGCACCTAAGTTAACAGTAAAAGTCCCTACATAAAAGCAAAAAGGAGGTTTAGTTTTTTGAATTTCATTTTCCATAACAAGGACCAAAAGTGTTGGTCCAAACCTCGTTCATTTTGCAACCTCAAAACTATCTTTTGCTATAAACCTTTTTCTACGACCAATTTAACTCGAGTTAAACTTAAGCTATTTAAAAAAGAGTCACTTTAGGCCCTAGTTATAAAATATATTATTCATATATATAGAATAATCATCTATTTGTACATAACCTCTTGTAGAAGTAACCTCATAAATCATAAGAGAATCTACATTGCAAATGTTCCGGTATACGCAGAGATGGCTTAAAACGTTTCTAATCTCCTTATTTGAACCCCCGGCAACACCTTAATCTGTAAGAAACAAAATTGTCAAACGGAGTTGTAATCTGGAAAATAAAATGGCGTTAGACATTTAGTTTATGTTCGGATCATAAATAAATATGGTGGAATTAACTGATATGGAGGAGATTTTGCGTTATACGTGTAACATTTTATGTTTGATACAACATTTGTTAATATCACTAGATATTTTGTTCACTAACCGAGATAATATTAATGCAATCATGAATTAGGCCTATGTTCCTTTAAGAAGTAAACAACTTATTTTATACGACACAGAGAAGAACACCCCTTCTAATCAATGTAGATTGGAGTTTCTGTTATTTACTAAGAATAAGTTGTTTGAAGGTACACAATTAGTTTTTAGGCAAAATAAAAATAATGCCGTCATCTTAATTTTAATTTTTTTTTTTTTCTAACTGTTAATCTTTTTTGAGGTCTTAGATTTAATTTGAAAGAACGTGTATTTTTTAATCAGAGGTACAATAAAAATGTTTTGGTAGTTAGAACTATAAAGTAAATATTTATATTACACATTTTAACAGTGTTCGCTTGCATATTGTGCATTGTGGTTTAAACGGGAATATTAAACCTATTAGTTAGGGTGGTTGTATTTTATTACAAAATACAAAAACAAGGGATTCATGCTGTAAGTTAGCAATGAAAATTGATGATTTTTTTGTGGAAACTCAGCAAAAGTTTATGTGCTATCATTCCATTCATTATCAAACCATGCCTTTATGGGTTGCCTGAACCCTTGTTTGTTAAGGGCCCAAATATCAAGATCAATAATAAATATTATTGATTGAATAAAAGGATGTTCTTAAAACTAGGCTAATATAATCCTTTTATTTATTTTTTATCTCAATAATACATATTCTATAAAAATAAAGTGATTTGCAAATTTAACTTAATGTAAACTTAATGTTTAAGAACAATAGGTAAAATAAAAGTGACATATTGTAACAAAATATAATTTATTAACCGATCAAACACTTAAAACTACATAACAATTTTGAATTTAAACATAATAATAGTAGATAGAAAGAGTATTGAAAGACTTGAGTAGTTGTTTGAGACCAGTCCAGTATTGTTATCACCACCATCCTGAAACATGTGATTAATGATTAGAAAAACTGCATTTCATAAAATAAATTTGAAAGGAGAACATTGTTAACTTAAATGGCTATAACTTAAGTAGGGTTATAAACATATGTTTCTAATGAAAAATAATTGTGTTTTCCTTCAAGCTTTGTAGATTCTATCATTATGGTTTTCATTTACAAATTCGTAAATATTTATAATTTACTATGTAGCTTTAAAAGTGTGTATAATCAAATCTTTTTATTTAAATGAAAAATCATTAGTTAAGTATGGGAAATCGTTTGAATACAACCAAGATACACAGATATGATTGACCCAATATGATGAGCTCGTCCAATATTAGATTTTATTGTGTGCATTATGTGAAATGTGTTAAAAATTGTATTCCTTTTATACTAATATAATGTTAATACAGTATTTATATTTCAAGATTAGTATAAATTTATTGTCGATGAATTAATGCATTGCAAAAAGCTGTATTGTTAGTAATTGGAATATTTACAACACGGTATTTTAAGCATACAAATCAAACGAAATTGGGTCCCGTCAAATAAATAGATTTGAGAAGATATAGAGTAACAATAGTATACATACACCCACGTACAAAAAATTCATTAAAAATAATACGATTTTTTAAATTGTTAAATCAGCTCCATTAAGAGTTTTCTACGAATTTTCACTGCTTTTTAGTATTTATTTGGCAGAATTTTTTTTTGAATAACCTTTCCCATCACTATTCCAAAGTAAAGACTTTTAAGTCAATTTAACCTATCGAAATGCAAACAGAACGATAAATAATGATGGCAAGATTTACCAGGCATAGAGAAAAAATGTGGGCTACGAAAATTAGATATTTTTTGTAAAGTGAATACTATCGCCATAAAATATTTTGGCGATACAAATGTCTCATGTAATAAGATATTTAGAAATAATATTACTATAAACATTTATTTTTTTATAGGAATTTAAAGCTCAATCTCGTTCTACTAAAACCTTTTAACACGACCTTTAAACAACAAATTACAACCCTTATCCCATCGGGCGCATTAAGGCTCTCAGCGAGAAAATTACAACGAGAGTAATGGATTTTAGTTTCAGTGTCCACTTGTCCACCTTTACTATGGGAACTATGTTTACTTCTTTATTTTCAGCTTTACCAAGATTTAATTTACAATATGTTTGAAACATTTTGTTCATCCAAAGCTTCTCCGTTAGAAAAGTATAACCTGGAAGTCAAACCCTAAGTCAAAACACTAAGTTTGTTTTTAATATTTCATCTCCACGTATACAGGTACCCCTAACCTCCCATTAAATAATCACAAACATGACCAATAAGGGTATGATTTGAATCAATTCAATTAAATTATGTTTTAAGTAATAAATAACCCGTTTTAATTTTTTTTTTATGGGGAACGGTCTCGGATTATTTTAATTAAAACAATAGTAGTTTATAATAAACAAACGGCTTGTTGTTAATTCAGTGTGTCAAAATAGTAGCTATTGAACAAATTGTTTTCCTTCCCACAGAGCATAAAATATATTACCCTTCAGCTGATTAATTTGCTTATGCAGTTAAAATAAAATTTTATTGATAATCATTAGTTCAATTTAATAAAAATTGAAGATATTCATGTTCAGATATTTTTATTATTATTACAAGGCAAATGGTAACAGTTCCCAATAATTTTCTCTTAAATGCATTTGTGACCTATGTAATGCCTTAAAAGAAAAATAGACATGGAACAAGACTATACAAACTAATTAAATAATCACCATAAATCCTAAATTGACACCATGACTGGTTTTACATCTTTCAATTAAGAAAATAAACCCATAAACCCATAAACCACCAAACTGACCACTTCTCGACAATAAAACTTCGTTTGAGAACTGTTGCGTTTAGTTTGGAAAGCAACTAGTTTCATAACAACTACGTATTTTGTTATTGGTAATTTTTTCCACGAATAGTTTCGCTAGTGAAAGTGTAGACACAATAGACAACATTGTCTGCCATAACAGCTGTAATATGGTGTGACTAAAGTGTGTTTTTTGCTAGTCTGGACATTGGGGCATGGTTGGCTAGTGTTATATAGTCGGGCATTCACTTAAAATCTGGTCCATGTAATCAGTAACAAGATGCGTCATTAATAAAAACTCATGAAAATAGTTGATATTTGACTGAATGAAAAGTAAAGTTTTAGAATGAATACGAATTACTAATTTAGCAATTATTACTGTTATTTATCAAATTTTTAAGACAGGTTTTTCACATAACCTATTGCAGACTGAACATTATTTTTTAATATTGTTTTTGCAGCTTATGATTCCACGTTTGGCTGAATGTAACACAATTTTTTTGCTCTTGGGTAGCACGTTGTACATTTTGAGTCTTAATTATGAAGAGTTACCTTTTTCCCTCGGCCTGTAAATGAAATATTGAAAAGTGAAGCCTTCATTTTTATGTCCTACACTGTCTCATTTCGGATACTGTTTGAATATTAAATTTTAAGTAGGGTACTAAGGAAAACTTATTATTTGCTTACTACTATTTAAACTAAAATAAACAGCGAGCGTTTAGTGAATTAACACACGCATTTCTTTATGAAATGCAACACTTTTAGAACTATAATACTTAACCATTTGGGGAATATTTTTTTTAATTTTTGATGCAGCTCCTGAATTACGTTGAATGACATAAATTGGTTGACATATCTGCATCAGCATAAACAAACTGTTACTCTTTATGCTGTAACTATCTTCAATATTCTGGACGAAGCAATTATGTCATTCTCCAACGTCTAAAGATGGCTTTTCGAAAAGTTAAAAATAGTTCAACACAATAGAGAACAGTTGTATCGAGCAAAATTATTTTTCAAGTGTTAACATTGAAGATTATATTATAAATGCAAGTCGAAACAAAACTAAATAAACTGAAATCAATTACTGAATGTACTTTTTATTCACTTACCCTTGCCACCGCCTCCGCCGCCACCTCCTTTGCCGCCTCCACCGTAGCCGCCCCCGCCATGTCCACCACCTCCGTAGCCACCGCCTCCAAAGTGTCCACCACCACCGTATCCACCGCCTCCGTGTCCACCTCCACCGCCGCTCCCATGTCCACCCCCGCCTCCTCCTAACGTGATGATCTTGATGATCGTTGGTCCACCCCCGTATCCACCACCTCCGTGTCCGCCCCCACCCCCACCGCCATGTCCGCCGCCGCCACCCCCATATCCACCGCCTCCGTGTCCACCACCGCCACCTCCATGACCACCCCCTCCGTATCCGCCGCCCCCATGTCCACCGCCTCCATATCCGCCCCCTCCGTGTCCGCCGCCGCCCCCACCTCCGTGTCCACCCCCACCATAACCACCTCCACCGCCGCCATGTCCTCCTCCACCCCCACCGTAAATCCAACCTGGAACAAAATCTAGGATTAGTTCATGTCTTCAAAAACTTTGTTATAATTAGATTCTCTACGGGAGTATTATTTGATAATGATTGTTAGTGTTTTGTAGATTCGTGATCTTTGAAAAACGGTCGTGTGAAAAAAAGCAAAACACTTCAATTCACAGACATTTTGGACTAAGTGCAGAGTATCATCTTCAGACTGACTTGACGTCTGCTCATTTGTCGCAGAGAATTGTCTGGGTAGCCAAGTGGTTTTAGTGCTCCTGTTCAAATCTGAAAATCGCTGGTTCGACTACAAACAAGCGAGATCGTAACCAGACCCCAGCTGCTATTTGTTATTCGGAATCAATGATGAAATCTAAAGAAAGGTCGACGTTAGATAGTAATAAAACCAGGGTTTCAAAACGTAAAAAATGCCACTGGCATAGAAACACATCAATATAAATACTCTGTATTGAAGGCAAAACGTTGGTGAGAAGAAGTATTTTTCGTGTTTGACAAGGTAGTTCCCGAACACGACGGATCTCCAATATGACCGTGAGAGCCTATCCAGGAAGTTGATTGTTGATTATTAATGTTGTGTCCTATGCCAAAAGTCAGATTGAAAGTTGACTTTCTTAGCATTCACAGTAGAGTTATAAGCTTTTTAAGCAAAACTACCAATGCTTTTTTCAAAGTTATCATGTCTTTGAACTTCTCCAGGAATTACGTGTAAAGATGAACAAGTTAGGAACCTCAAAAGTAATTTTTGCTAAGGCTTGTAAATAGCCATAGGGAGGAGGAGATGAGACTATTGATCATATGATGAAAAACTGTGCCATTTCCATATTTTAACAGCTATTAAAATAATTTTCGACCTTTAAATTAAAAATTTTGGAAATTGTCCAAAAAAGTTTTCTTCCAAATTGCGCTCCAATGCCAAATAAATAATCTTGATAAAGTGGTTTTAGAAAATCTGCCAAACTATCGAGTTTTGAAATCCACGCAACAAAAATCTTTGATAAAACCTCTATGGTGGTCTTGGTCTCAAAGAGGGCGCACTCTTGATCTAACCAATCTGATTATAAAGAGTAACACTTAAACAAAGTTTAACTAAACAATTTAATAATAATGTTATATTTTTATTATACTCACCAGCGTTAATTTCCGTTGCTGCCACCAGCAGCACCACAGTGAGGCAAGCAAACTGTAAAAAACAACAAATCTCAGGACATTAATTTACTTTGGATACTTTAAGTAAAAATCCCACTTTGGTGTAAACTCTAAAACCTTTCTTATATAAGTTCATGTACGTTTACATTTATGGGGGTCAAAATCGGCCAAACATCTTGCTACGATAGTTTGCTATTTGAATTAATGAAATATGTAACAATAAATGAATAGTAAAATAGTATATTTCGTACCTAGGGCCGAAAATGAGGTTTTGCCGGCTCGAGATAGTTTTTAAATCGATCGAGAGCTGCAAAACCATTTCGGTCCGTGGTACGAACACTATTTTTCACCACACTATACCCTACTACCACTATTCACCACTATAATAATGCACACTGATAGTCAACACAACTACAACTTTAAGGTTATGTGAAGAAATAATTTGATGAATCAGCAAAAATAAAAATAAATAGTTGCTAGGCAACGGTGACAATAACACAATTCTATTGCAATGCTATGGATTTTGATTGTGTATTTAAAATGCATGTTTTAAGTAAGTAAGCGGACAGCTGATTTTGCGGCCCCGGGCTGTAAAAACCTGCTCGGTCCCCAAATTACGATGACAGCTGACATGGACAGCAAAACGTAACTTTCAGCCACCAATTAACGTATGTAATACAGCCAAAAACATCATAGTGTGGTGAAAATGTTCTTTACAATTAACAAAGGTGAGATACTCCATGTATCAGCTGATCTATAATGACGACAATGCTTGGGGGTGTGTTTAATAGTACTGCAGTATTAGCAGGGTTTACAGCGGTGCATACGATAGCTTGAGGGGATGTGTTTAGGATGCAATAATGCTAACTGTGTCTGGAATGGATCCTCCACTACAACACAATCTGTAGTGTAATGTGTAGTGATTCAATGAAGTTTGCTAGGAATCAGAGAGGAATCATGAAACAAAATTCCTGCTGGAATGAGTGTAAGAATTAAAGGGTTAAGCGTTAAAATTTACCCTTTATAGTTTTTTTGGTTGTGTTTAGTTTTTAATGTATTTTTGCCTTGATTAATTTAAGTGGTAGTTATTATGGGTCATAGCCTGTTAAGGTGCTATTCTACAAAACCGGTCACTACGCGTTCGTTTAAAGTAACATAACTTATTTGACTTTATTTGAATTTAAAGGACCAACGTATTTACCCTTTATGATTGTTTGGTTGTGTTTAGTTTAATGAGTTTTTAGTTTGACTAATTTAAGTGGTAGTTATTATAGGTCATGATTAGCCTGTTAAGTTGCTATTCTACAAAACCAGTCCCTTCGAAGTGAGGTTAACAGCCACGACGCGTTCGTTTAAAGTAACAAAACTTACTTTTCAAAGTAACTTTAAGTATTTTAGTAGAAACTTGTTTTAAACGGGCTTCTACTGGCTACAATTCAACTAAACATGATTTCCAAAATAAAATATAATACTTTTTTATGCCAATCGTATGACTCTAAAGATGTAATTAAACGTTTTCAAGGATAACCTACTTAACTGCTAGACCCGTTCCGAAAAATATAGTTTACCGAGTTAGTTTATCCAGTTGTCGTTTAAAATACTCAAAACTAAATTGATTCCTTTATAACCTTTACAAGATAAAAAACAGGATGAGAAAAATAAACTTTTGCACTAAACGTAAATATAAAATGTCCATAGATAGGTGACACTATTCAATAAAAGTAACACTTTTTAGATTTCCTTCACCTTGTTCATAGGTTTTACAATTAATTTGGATCTATTTACCTTTATTACACGTTTTAGTCTGGATGAAAATTATCACGATTATCACTCATATCGCGATAGTTCCACCCAAATTAAACGTGTAACGATGTATCCGATTATTTATATCCATTACAATATAAATTAAAATGTTTTTAATTTTTCGTGAATTAAATTTTCTAACTGGTCATATCGTATAGTAAATGTCGGAAAATATGCAAATCCCACTTCATAAAACCGAAAAAAAATATTATTATGTTATAAATTCACATAAATCATTCACGAAAATTATTATACGTTCTCTAAAAGTTTCCTAGGGCGTTACTACGGTTCACAAGCTAATCAAAGTAGCGCAGGATAGCTACGCATGGACAAATATTTTTAAATAGTTTAAAGATATTCTTTTTACTACAGTACTCTAAAACATTATGGTGCAACAAAATCCACTATAGGTACTCACAGTATCCTATACTATCCACAGCATTATCCAAAATATCCTAAACCCTACCTTCATAGTTCCACAGGTGGAGCCCTCCTGTCTGTCCTGTGTATCCAGAGTTGGGCTTATATCAGGGAAACTCCTGCAGGAGTTGTGTGGGGGGAAGGGGGGGGGGCAACGGAAGCACCCATAGACGTGGTCTGTCTAGAGCTTGGACAATGGTACATTCAAACTAGGGAGGTCTTTCTTAAACGGTAGAGCAAACTATTTTGACCATCTTTACATAAAGGAATGGAACAAGTTGTCTGCTTGTTTTCAAATGTAGGGTGGACATTCGGATATTGGAGTTGGTTTTATTTAAAATAAAATGGAATGCCTTCTCTTAGAGTTAAAGGTGCTATTATTAGGGCTTATGATAATGTATGCTATAAGTCTATTGACATAATCGTGTTGTATATGTGATCTAGAACTCGGCAGATACACATATGTTCAATATAAACAAAATCACAAAACTAAATATATTTGTATTAATCTAATCATAGTTGTATTTTTCTTATGACATAACAGCTAAACTTACGATCTACCAGAAGAAATTACGTCTTAAAAATCCGAATGAAGTGTGACGTTTTTTAGGCATAGACCTTTTTTTCTCTGGAATGCATGTTCCACATTAGTATTTTTTAAAGTGTCACCGTTTGATAACAGTTGAGTCCCATAAATCAGAGAACAAAAATTAATTGAACCCCCTACATTTAATGTGCAAACTCGTAAAGTTTTATATACTCAATAAGCATAAGCCCGTTATTATATTTAATTGATTAATCCTCTCTTTATGTGTTTTCTCATAGATCATGTGAAACCTCCAGTTTAAAGAAACAAGTAATCATTTAAATGAAAATACAGTAACTTAAAATATATTTTTTTTATCGGCAAACCCCCAAAAATAATCTCATCATAAGATAACTGTTTTTGAAGTGAAACGGTCTTACAAAATTGTTCTACTTTTGGATTTCATAAACAATTGGTGGATAATTTTTTATGCTATGTAGACAATAGCCTAGAACTGCAAAATAAAGCTCTCCGAATTTAGGATAAGGACATTTTTATGCTTCCGATTATTGCAGGTTTATCAGGCCATGACGAAGAATTCCTCTTTCATCAATCAAGAGGTTAAATGCAGATTAATTGCATCTGATTACCTAGTGATTAGTCATTAATCAATTAATTCAAAGGAAAATTACTTTCTCAAAACTCCTGAGTGACCATTCACTTTTAGTGTTTAAATTAGTGGCAATCGTATAAAACTTTCTCATTTGCGAAAAGTTGAAATTTTCGCAATTATTTAATGCAGAAAATACATTCATGCAAAACCAACAAGGCTCACAAAAAATCAATAATCGAACCAGACATGGATTTTTCTCTAGGCTTTGCATCAGATGTTATTATACAGTTTAATATTGTTTGGTGAATATCTCATTTACAGTGGTAGGCTAGCTATGAAACGTGTAAATAAATATATCTGCAAAAATATGATAACATTTCAGGAGTTTTATGTTCAGTATGACATAGTTTTATGGGTTTTGAAATCAAACCCTATTCGTAAAAAAGAGGCTAAAACGATCAATTCGTTTATCTCGACCTGTTTGAAAAATTTTACTAAACTAGAGTTAAAATAGAGAAAATACAAACTTAGTAATGAACAATATTTATAACATACCACACAATAAGCATGTTCAAATCAACAAGTAAGTGATCTTTATAAAACATATTTAACTACTTCCTGATGATAGAAAAGAGTTTAAAGTGATTTAAATTTAATTCGAAGCATTCTTACAGTACAGGAACTGAGGATGATATAATTTTAACTCTTCTTGGTCATAACATTTTTAATTCTTTTAGGAACATATGTGTTGGATTAAATAACAAGTTTGTTGAAACCATCTACATGTAATAAATTCATCCATACACAACTCATCCCTCATATCAACCAACTATCAGATTTTTCTAAAAATTTTCACGAACCAAAGTCAACAAGGGTCAACGTTCCCGTATAACTTGCTATTGACATTCGCTCTAGGAACCACGGCGTCTGGGTCGCGACGTTTCGCAAACGTCCTCCTGTCGTCTGCAGGGACACTCGCAACCCCGTGTCATTCACTGGACACACACAATAGTTGTTTTACATGCTGATTTCCTTGGTTTGGCGCATTTCGTTGCTTGTACAAAAATAATGAGGACAGTGATATTATGGTACTTTGGTATTATAACTATACCGACCACGTCGATATTGACTTCCAAATAAGATTTTAATTAGTTTAAATAACAAAATCTTCCTAACATGACCTAAAACATAGTTCACCTTTAGGTTAGGTTAGGTTAGGTTCGGTTCGTTAGTTAGGTTAGGTTAGGTTAGGTTAGGCTAGGTTAGGTTAGGCTAGGTTAGGTTAGGTTAGGTTAGGTAAGGTAAGGTTAGGCTAGGTTAGGTTAGGTTAGGCTAGGTTAGGTTAGGTTAGGTTAGGTTAGGTTAGGTTAGGCTAGGTTAGGTTAGGTTAGGTTAGGCTAGGTTAGGTTAGGTTAGGTTAGGCTAGGTTAGGTTAGGTTAGGTTATAATAATTAGGTGTGGTCGGTATACGTAAGTAACATTATTTCTAATACAAATATGCATTAGATAAATAGGGTTTAGTGACCTTCTGACCTAGAGTTCAAATTCCAATTCATTTAGTTTGCTGGGTGAAATTGTTGTCATCAGGCGGTAAGGAGTACATCTTTTTGTACCTATGTAGAAAGCACTAGAAAATGTACGCTGTGCAGAGTTATGTAATGAAGATATTTCTACGAAAACCCAATAAGCAATGCAATGTTTCATGAAGTTCTAGCTTAGGTTAAATATGGAATTTTTAACCGAAAAAAACGAAAATAAATATAAATTAACGAAACAGTTTTGAGATGTGAACGACATTGAGTCATATGGACCATTTTTTATCCATTGATGTCAGAACCAGTAGCATACACTTTTCTAGAAACAGACAATAACATACTGTATGTAAAAAAAAAATGATTAAACTTTGTACATTTATTAGCCATATTATTTAGGCACATTATTGCAATAGTTAAAATGCACATTGTTCAAATATATTGTATATCATAATCTTAATGTCATAACTCAATTCATTGGTTGCTGCATTAGTTTCACGGTTTCACTGTCTAATACAAATACACACGTGAAATCTGTACATTTTAATCGTATATGTTAGAAAAGTAACCAAATAACAATGTATGGGTCTGTAGCCCTGTATTGCCTAGGACCAGAGGCAGGTTTATCACAGCTGTATTGATCTGGACTACAATGTGGCTGTATTGGTCTAATTATCTGTCAAATGCAGTCCAGGTATTGCACAGTTACATTCACTGCTTTGTTGCAACTCGTTATAATCAACAGCTTGACAAGTCATAGCCTCAATCACATTTATTAATTAGCACGTGGTTTTGTTGTCATGAAAGCTGTTTAGCATTTCAACTTTTTAATCTAAATTTGTGATTTAGTCACTAATGTTTTTGTTGAGTTGTATGACAGTAGTTGATATAGTGATCCCCTAGCAATCGAGAGGTTAAATTTAATAAAAAGTTCGTATAGTTAAGTTTATCATGATAGCAAACAAATGAGGTAACATAAACGTTTATATTGTATAGTTATTTTAAGGAGATAAGCTTAAAAAGACGTACATTTGTATTCGTCTATCTCTTTTGATGAGTTTCATAAACTAGACTGAACTAGACAGGCCTAACCTACACGCAACACTGTAAAAGAGTGGCGGTCGTTCCTCTACTTGAAAATGAAAACACCTATAACAGCAAAGCAATATAACATCCAATATGTATATCAATTGAAATATTTAATCGATACTCATATCGAACTAATATTGCATCCGATAATATCCTAGGTTCTCTGCGGAACTGTAACCTTCAGATGCAGTTTTCAGCTTACGTTATCAGCCCACAGCCGGGGCTGCATGTCAGTTCCCGTGTAACCCGTTTACATCCGTTTAACACGATATGTTTCACGCTTTCAGACACACATGACGAGGCCACTGTGTGCAATGGTTTTCCTGACACTCAACACAACATCGTTGCAGGACAATACAGAATAGTAGAACTTCAATAACAGTTCCTTAAAACAGTCCTTTTAACAGTTCCTGGATTTCCAACTAGATTTCGTTACTCAATAGATTTCGATAATCAAGGCTGTACAAATTGATAACCAGGCTTTACATTACATTAAATATATAATTGCTGTCGTGTACTCGATCGTTCTTAAAACTATTTGTCCTAATATCATATTATTTTTGGGGTTATTGGTTAGGGTGGTAGGGGTTATAGAATGGAATTTTGGCATAAAAACATGGTAGAGGATCAAAGATTTTTTAATAAATAATATAATACTTTAATACTTTTATTCTGAAATGAGGACTATACGAATGCAGGTATTTTAAACCAAGTATGAATGGAAATGAGTGTAGGATGAGTGGCACGATCTTGTACTGTTAGTGACTAAGGCCGATAATTTCATTGGACAAGGCCGTTAGTTAATAGCCCATACAACCAATCGCAACTAAGGGACCTACAGTTTATAGTGGAATCCGAACCACATTTTTGGCTTGTAATTAGTGAATTGGTCTAATTGTCAGGACAGTACTGTGGATGGTCATAGTACTCACCAGGGAGTATCGCATCCACAGTGTATGCCTATAAATATCCACAATTCGTGACCTCCAAGTAGCTGGATTACAAGACGACACCACCGTCCAAGTCGTTTTGACACAAACTCAAAAGATTCTCTTGCTAGAATAGTGTAAAAGAATTAGGGACAATGTGGACATAGTTTCGAACAATTCAAAAGTTTGTGTAGCATTTCATAGAACTCTACCGGGAAATACATAATGGATTCAGCAAATGATACTGTAAAGTAGATTTTACTTTGTAAGTTTAACTTTAATATATTTAAAACATGAAATTATTTGCGTTGTCCTATTATTTTCATCCAAAGCTTTAACTACTTTCCTCTCTGCATCAACACTTCTTCTCAAAACAATCTTCTAACATACAATCTTTTTGAGTCTCCTTTAAAATCTTACACGGAAAACGACCACCCAATAAACACACATTACAGCACGAGGAAGAACGAAATTTACAAAGAAAACAGGAACCAGCACAGATCCCTGGGGGACGCCACTTAGTTGCACAACCGTTGTTACCGATAGCACCATTCACTGGAGATGGCTCTTGCAATGGCCTGCAGTGGTTAACGTAATTTTACTGCCCACTGTTGCTGCTTTTTGTTTTATTATTCTCAACCTCAATGACTTTCTGTCACGGTTAGCTGGTTGGATTTTGAAATTCTGCAATTTGTGTTTCAGGGGCACGAAATGGCTCTGTTCGAAAAGTATTGCAATCAAGTGTATTTTGATATTGATTTATTGATCTCATTCAGTGATCTTAAAGAGAGGGTTACACTTTTGATTCTGATATACTTACGTAAATTACATTTATTTCACCGTATTGGATCATGAACGTTGAAGCTCTCCTTTCTGTCTAAGAATAAGTTAAACTTGGGGTATTCCAAAGTCCGTGCAGTACTGAAGCAGTATTGAATCACGACATGCAAGTACTGAAGCAGTTTTATTTAAGTACCTAGTTCAATCTTTGTTATTCTTTATTTTAACTGGTGTAATTTTTCCGTCACCACTCTATTGGACAATTCCTCAGACTTTACAATTCAGGCTGAACATTTACTTACGGTTTCTCTAAGAAAACCTTACTAACAAAATTATTTCAAATTCAAGCTACTATAAAATATTTATCATAGCTTCATTCAAACTTCATACAATATTATGAGGATGTTTTTAATTATAAATATTAATATATTTCACAGGTTTAAACCTGTTATGGCTTTTCTTATAGATGATCATAATACATTAAAATCCCTTTTGTAAAAGAAAGTTTTCCCATAAAAAAACTATTCATGTAGAAAAAAATCTCCTTCCGATTGGTATTCTGATCAAATACTCAGAAAAAATTTCAAAAGAGATTTCGATGCAACTCTACCAAATTCAAAGTTTAGCAACCAAAGTCTGTTTACCAATGTTAATTGATGGCTGACTAGTTTGCTTGCTAGCTTTGTTCCAGTTTAATTAAAATCGGGAAACGGTAAACTTTGTTTGAAGTTCTTTCTCTGAGTGGGACAGTCAAATGATTATGGATTCGTTTAATTGACTACCTGAATCGGAGCGAATTAATTTACACTTCATTGACAGTTTTTTCACAGTCAATTTGTGAAGAAAGTCTGATATACGTAATAATCACGGTTCTGTATTTGCATCCAGATCTGACATCAAATATGTAGCAGTTGCAAACATAAAATAACAAAAATACGCCTGTTGAAGCGAACCTGCATTGTAAGCAGCTGCTGTGTAAATTGTTCATCCAAAATGCATGTGATAACAGTACTTGTCTTCGTGTTCTGTGTGGTAAATATAAATACACGTAAAGAAATTAGGTTTGCTACCACGAGAAATGCAGGATTAGCTGTTGTTTTGTCAAATTTTGTAAAGCCTAACATTGAATAACAATTTTTTATGTGAAATTAAGATACCTTTGTTATCCGTATTTCATAGACATATATGCTTACCATTCACCTTACCTTGATACCTTTAAAATCAATCTTTAGTTTATGGACATAGCCCATGAACTAAAATCAACATCATCTAGTTTATTCCTCTTAAAGATAAAGTGATTGACAATGATGACAAATTCTGCTGGGTAGATGAGTGGTTATAGTGCTCGACTAACATCAAAATGTTGCTAGTTCGAATCGTCACTAGCTTTTTGATAATTCTAAACTGGACCCAGCTGTCCATGATGATGGCTTCAAATAAATGACTGATGAAACAGCTGATCGTCAGTAACATAGATAATCTCACATCATTCTACACTCATCCTTCACTCAAATTTTGGTTATAATACGCCCCTAGGGGGCATTCCGATTTATTTTAATTGATAATTATATATTATAATAATATGTTATGGTAACTGTTGGAAAATATGTAACGTGTAATTTGTTCACAAAACAATTTCCTGCCTTTAATAAACTACTAGCGTACATGTTGCTCGAATTCGAGCAATTGCAATGTATTACAGGAGTTATTTCAAAACGAATAACAGTCATATTTAGGCTACAATGAGTTTAAAAGAGTCAACTCAAAGATTACCGGTGTGTAACTCAGACCATGTTTATCTTCGTTATTGATAAACCTAAAGCATTCCGGCCGGTTTTCTCCTTCTCTAAATGCCTCGCTGTACAGGCAACACAGGTCATTGATAGAGGGCCAACCGGCCAATTGTGGACGAAAAGTCGTTTTGGGGTAGTGTTAGGGCGTATTTGTAACCTAATAGTTGAGATTGTCCAGAGTCAGGTGCTGACTGTGATGAGTTAAGGCGGGGACACACTTGTCATAAGTTGAGTTAAGCCTAATACGCGCCACTGTTTATGTTTTGTTTTCGTCACGTCGGAGGCATTTAAAAGAAAAAACAACAAATAAACAAATTATAGGTACACAAAACAACGATAAATGCATAAATTTAAGTTAGAATCATGCTAACACGATCCGTCATAGCGGAACAAAACGATAAATACACAAATTGAAGATACAACATACTAACACGATCCGTCATAGCGACACAAAACAACTATAAATACACAAATTTAAGATAAAACCATACTAACACGATCCGTCTTGGGGGTTATGTTTACACAAACTCAAATAGTAAACAAATTTACTCAATGCGTTTCATTGAATTGAAAAATAAATAACAGCAATTAAATTATACAGCTGATCAAAATGTAAACAATTATGTTCTTCATAAGGATAACATGGGAACTTTCAAAGCCACTGGGGCAGAACCCAAGGGACTTTTTCAAAAATGTAAGGCCAGTTTGCAAATCTACGCGACACGCTCTTTCCAATGAGACGTCAATGGATAAAATCGGTTAAGAAATGGCGGAGGAGTTCAACCGACAAAGTTTCATGTAGCGTATTAATTATATAGATTCTGCACCACTTTTTGACTGATACACATTTACATTTCAATATATGTGAAACAAAAAGGACTCTTGCAAATACGAGATGTATAGCAGGGAATAAAAGGACCAGAAATAAGTAGAAAGCCTAATTAAACAAGAGAGTGCTTTAGAGAATGTGCGCGTACTCGCTACTACTGTTCTGTAGTACCGCGTTTTAATGAGCGCTGGCAGGCGAGACTGGCAATGAATGACGGGGATGCCAACCTCATCGTTTTGAAAATCCCTGGTTATTCCCGATGAAATATTTCCATTTGTCCCTGATTAAACTAATTTATTTTGTCCTAGGACGCTAGGGTCTAGTCCAAGATCGTTTTTCACTTCAGGATAGGCCTAGGGTTTGTCTCATGATCACTTCACTCAGTGGATCAAATCCACTTTAATCAAATCCATTTGTGATTGGCAGGATTTGAACCCGGGACTTCAGGGCCTAATGTCTCGTGCTAAATCTACACCAGCTTGCTTCTCAATTAATCCTTATTTAGAAGAATAAGGAAAGTATTAACTGATGATTATTGCCTTTTTACTAAGTAGCCTAAGACCAAACTTAAATATAACCATCTATATTTGTCCTCATTTGAATCATCTGAATACAAATATTAAATAGACTAGCATATGTCCATCTTATGTACATAAAAGTCAACAGGAAAATCTAAAACTGGTTACGCATTCAGACAGGTGTATTATTTTGATATCATGAAATAGGCCTGCATAAAAAATCATTTAAAATTTGCTTACAATATATAGCCATAAACAAGCTAACAAGCATCAGTTTAGTTTACCTTTATCTATATATTAATAGGCAAGCATGTTTCTTTAAAACCTTTTTTCTCAGCTCGTGTGCATCGCAGGGAAAATCTACGCATACTGTTGGAAAGATATTTTCCTGTAGATGTGCAGAATGCCTTTAAAAATAAAAATAGGCTAACAAATAAGCACAAAAAATGAATTTGAAAACTTCAAAAAATTAACATGGACCATATGGGTTGCCATGATGGTGACGAAATAACAACAAAATGTAACAGAAAATCTAAACAAATGTAAGAAATTCCAATCACATGTTTTATTTACAGTGTGGGGAGAAAATAGAGAAGTCTGTACATTAATTTTTTTTGGTCGAGTTTCGACCACAGGACGACCACTAGTAAGAATAACAAGACAATGATTTAAATGTACAGATGATTTAAATATTTCTTCTTAACTTATCAAACTAACAACTACAACAACTGTTCTGATCAACAACTACAACAAGTTTTCAACATACAAAATTATTTATTTCTTAAAGTTGTACACGTAATTATTAATGATTAATTATAAAAGGATTAATAATTAATTGTTGGGTATTAATTTGTAAAACAATACTCTGAAAATAATCTTAAAACACCATAACACCCTTTCCTATGACCGATCTTGCTGGTTCGCGAACTCATTTAGGTTTATTCAGCTTCACACTCATACAAAATTTCATCAAAATTATACCAAAATTACTTGAGTTATCTTGATTGCATGCGCTTTAAATGCATACAAATTTCAACGAATGGCATTTTTGACCTCAGGGGACGTCAAAACCAAAAAGTAAATCGGTCCCGGGTCTAGGTCTTACCGTGCACATACGGATATAAGGTATTCCCTTTATGACTAATTCGTTAAAATTCAAAAGAACATACTACATGTATTTCTCAGTTGGTATGTTGTATATTTGAAGTGTATATACTGTAAGGTGAGAGGGAGGGGGGAAGCTCTATGGTTATGCCTTGGGGTTGTTTGTAGTGGAATGACAGATGATGATGTAGCGTTGTTTGGTTATTGTTTGTAAACAAAACCTGGCCCTAGAATAACCTGGCAAAGAGCAAAGAGGTGCAGAGCAGAACAGTTCAATCATGTTGTGATGGGGTATAGTTTTATAAGAAATTTATAAGTAAAAACTTAATATTTAAATAGTTAAAAGATTAAAACTTAAGTGAAATTTATAAATTGTTTTCAACAGTTGAAATTATTTTAATACTAGTTTAAAAAGGATCTGTTTGAGAATTATTTACCGAAGAATATTTTATTTTATAGAAGTTTTCAAAAAATACCATTTACATCATTAAGCTCCACGTGTATAGTTAAAGCCTACAGCAATTTGATTACACTAAATTACTATAAATTTGTTAGTTTAGGTTTTAATGTTAAAATTCATTACTAGTGTTTGTTCACTGTATTCCATATTATAAGAATGGGTTTATGTAGGTATGCATCAGATTTTGACAACATGTAGACATTGTTTACTCCTAATTAATTTTTATTCAATAAAGTTAATCAATTTTATACTTATTTACATTTAGTTCCAAATAACACTGTGTGTTCCTCAAGGAATATTTCTTTGTGGATTTTTAAACATGAAGTAGCACCCTTTATTTAAATGTATATGCAAATTAATAGTTTTGATCGCTTAAAGAAGGATTTGCAAAGTACTTTGAATTTCACACAAGTAAAATTATTAACACCTAACAGGTATGAAGTTTTGTATTGTCACATTGTGCTGGATGGGTCATACGTTTTCTATTGCTGTTTATTTTGTTTTAAGTTCATTTTTGGCGATTTTGAGTTTACGTTAGACAAGACATTATTTTAGACTTTTCCATCATGATTATTAAAATACCCCCGTCACAGCAAACCTGCATACTAAGCGAATTTCCATTTACCCGGCTTGATTTCTACTAAAATATTCCCTATAAATTTTCAGATTTGTTTCCTATTTAAATAACATTAATTTTAGTGAGTACTGTAGTTAGGTTTGCTGCTACGGGGAAGATGTTGAGGTGTGTTTTATCAATTGAAATATTGATAGCTTAGTATGAAATAAACCAAATTGCCAAATTTGATTAAAATATATCCATAAACAATCAAACTAGAACAGTTTATTTATTCTCCATAAGAATAACATGGGAGTTTTAAATTTAACATTTTTTAATTTTTCTCCGTAGTCAATAAACATTCAAAAACACTTCAATATACTAAATTATTTGTTTTTTTAAGCTCTTCAAAATGGTCTAGAGAGAAATTTAGAAATTTAAAGTTTTTAGGGTAAAAAATGAGAAAAACCCATTTTTTACCCCGTAAAACCCCCCATAAACCCCTGATCCCATGGTCCGATTATGCTGGTTCGCGAACTCGTTCGAATAAATGTAGGTTTACACGTTTGTACCAAATTTCATCAAAATCAGATCAATTTTGCTCGAGTTATCGCGCTAACGGACACACACACACACACACACACACACACACACACACATATATATATATAAATATATATATAAATATATATATTTAAATAATATATATATATTTATATATATATTTAAATAATATGTATATATATATATATATTGAATGGATAGTTTTTTTGGCCTCTGGGGACCTCAAAACGAAAAAGTAAATCGGTCCCGGGTCTAGGTCTTACCATGAGACCTACGGTAGTAGCTTATTTCCTATATGGGAAATTCGCTAAAAACAAACCTTGTCCCGCTTTAAAAACTAACCAATCACATCCTTGTCGTCTCCATCCTTTCTCATCTGAGGACGGAATCAGTTTCCACATCCCGAAACGTCGTTAAAATTTAGTTTTTTACTAATTGTGATGGAAAATGGCGAAATAATGTATTACCATTGTTAGACAACGAACTATTTATGATAAAAAAAAAACAAGTAGAATAACCTTACATCCATTTCCACACAGAAACCAATCTAAAATAATTTAAATTAATTAATTTTTAAAATCTGTGTAATGTACTCTGAGGTTATTCTCTAAGGTTTTTTTTTATATAACTACATTTCACCGTCGTGGCTTAAGGTCAGAGTGTCTTCCACGGTTGTACTCGCTCTTGTACGTCCTAATTAGGCTGAAGTGAGAGAAACAAAAACGGACATTGAGAGACAGTGTTGCCAACATAGAGTGAATGAATACCCTACACTTCCCCGGACCTCATCAGTGGTACCACTCTTTCTTGACTTTATTTCTTACGAGGTGCTTCCTTCGTAGAAGAAAATTTAATGAAATGTCTTCGTATAGAAATATTTTATTCGGTAATATCTTTCCTCTAGCGGTATATAGAAATTCACAATAACATTTTTTATAGGTTTAAATATCGAACACAATTAAATATACAGTAACAAGATAACCTATTTCTCTGTATTACCACTTGTAATTCTATATTTTGTGTTGTAATTACAAAACGTCTCAAGACGAGTGAATTACTATTGCCTCGAATGTATTGTGTATTGTGTATTATTGTATAGGCCTACAATATTGATTACACAAATACTGTATCCCTACGGAATATTAATTTGTAATAGCAGTGAATAGGCCTATGCATTAAACCATGTATTCTCAAGGTACACCTCGATAAATTGTATTTATCCATCTGAAATCTTAATCGTCCGGAAACTCATCGTTTTGGGTAACATCAAATAGAAAACAGAAAAAAATTTGGTAAATTTTTCGGTTTGCTAACCTCAAAATGTCATTTGTGCATTATGAAAACGCTACTGATCATTATAGAGGTGAGTGGATTATAACAATATTTAAAATTATGTTTGTGACAACGAAGAACAAAGAAATGTAAACATTAATGTTGTCTTAGTATAACCTCAAATTATTCGGTCTAATTTTGTAACGAATGGTTATTTCCACAGTAAGATGAAAATAATTGTTTATCACACGGAGCGAAAGTGTCTTTTTTGGTACTTAATCGTACACGATAGCGTGTGAAAAAAGAGCCACTTTCGGTCCTAGTGATGAAAACTACTAATAATTTGTGTGGATCAGTTGTCTGAAATTGTAAAATAAGCATTTAACAGTTCTGACTGTTTACATTAAATGTCAACAAAAAAGTAAACAAAGTTTGTGAATTTTCTCATGCTTCCATGGAGGCGAATTAATATTTACTTTTGAAAACCTTACCTCAAAGCTGTGGACATCCAAGGGGCATAGCCCGAGAGGATCTCAGGGAAGTGAATAGTCCTATGAAATTCTTAGGTATGAGGACAATATTTTAGCTTAATTTGGGCTGTGTCGGTTTAGTATTTTAGTCGTGGCAGCCGGACAGACATACACCATCTCAGTTTTATAATATTATATATATATATATATATATATATATATAGATAAAGCAGTTCAATATAGAGAATGGCATGTATCGATTGTCATCTAGGAGGGTCCAAGCACAGAGGTCCCATTGGATTGTTTGCGCACGAGATTGCTCCGAGTGGAACTTGTCTGTTTGATATCTCTGCAATGGATCTCTGATCTATTCCACAAAGAACACATTACTCCTGTAGGCAATTATAATCACTGGGATCGTTGATTATAATTGTAGAAGATATTGATCGTCAAACAATATTAGTTAAGTTGGTAGATTTTTCTTTCATTACTGTTATTTACCACAATATAAGCTATATTTATGTTACTGGCAAAGTATATTATGCAGGCATTCTATGCACTGCCTGAAACCTTATGCATAAATTAAAGAGTATACCTATACTTGGTCTACTCTTTAATATATGCTTTCAGGCAAAGTATGAACTGGATATTTCATACACATTAATTAAGGAGAAATACTAGGTGCAAATAAGTCTTAAAATTCGATACACATTTAAAAAATATCATTTGCACATTAAAAATAAGATTTAGACTTTTTATGACCTAAAATGGTGACCAATAAAAAAAAGTTGGGAACATTCAGTATTATAATATTCAGTATAAATCTTGAAAGGTTTTAAATAAATTCCTTTTGATTTTTAGAAAAAGAAAAACTTATTAAAAGAAAATGGCTCAGTCGCCAAAGTCAATTCAACTTTTTTGTGGTAATATAAATGCTTATAAACACCTCAATATTGCTTGGCAATTTTTGTTTTAATAGTTTTCAATGCTTAACAATAATATTCATGAAACTAATTACTTACTAACAGAAATGTCATTTAAAAAGTACGAGAATGAAGTAAAGAGTCAATTTTACATTCAATTATAAAACCTATTTCAAAACATATTCCAACAGAAAGTCAAGTCAATACTTTTTAAAATTACGCACCTACATGCACATCAAAATGCAATCCTTCTCATATTCCCGAAATAGCTTTTTTATGCGTCGGGTTTTTGATATTCTGTAAAAGAAGAGGTAAAATTATACCTTAATTCGAAAGTATGACAAGTATCTTTTCCAACGAGTTTCCAGATATCTTATATTGTATCACATTCAAAGCTTTGTGTTTCAAATATCCACATACTCAGTTTCCACTTGTTTCAAGTATTCGAAGAACAGCAAAACAAGAGATTTTTACCGTGTTTTTCTCATTCAAGTGTTCAATAAAACGATGGATAGCGATTTGCAAATGGTCATTATTTTGTAAAAAGTGTATTCTGCAGCATCTATCCAACAATTAAATTGGTACTTGTAGCCAAAAAAATTTATGTTTTTCAGTGATATGTATTGTACTTGTAAAGTTATTGGGTTTGAGCTCTTTAGGTTTTTTTAACGTATACAACTATTTTTGTGTATATCTACGCCACTTTAGTTAATGTTTTTGTAAGAGTACAATCCAATTCCTGTCTTGTTACTATCTAACGCAGTCATTTTGCTAGATAATATTGCATGCCACACCTATGGCTCTTTTATGTGTAGACACTCTTATGGATGTAAAAATATATTACTCTAGAAAAAACCTTAGTTTGATTCATCCTGCAGAGTACCTAAACCATAGTAGGACTATATTCAGCAGACTGGACATTTTGCATATAAAGTAAATCATGTTCAGTTTGGCCTACATAAAAGAACCTTTCCCACAAAAAGCTAGCAGAAAAGACACATACAACCTCATAGCAAAAATCTACTTGATGGGCCACTCAGGAGGATGAGCAAAGAGAATTATTTCCAAATATTAGCAATGAAAATTTACAATGATTTGCCAGCTGCTAGTATCTATATCCAAAATATATCGCCAAAATATATAAATGGCTAAAGAACATAGCCTTCTACTCCATTTACTAATTTTAAGAAGAAATAGAAAAGCAAAATCCATCAGCCACCAATCTGTTATTAGACGACGGACTGCAAATTTCTTACTATTAGTTTAGTATTGACGCGATATATGCAGCAACTACTGTTAAAGATATATGTAGAAAGGAAGTATGAAGAAAGTAAGAATGGAATACACCATTTAATACTCTTTGTGGTAAAAGTTTGATGAAGTTGGTGTGTAAAAACTCACCATACATTACCGAATTGATGTTTGTTTGCAATCATCCATTGTTGTTGAAATATCTGTAATAGATTTGTGCTAGAGAGCCTACTAAAGTAGAAATGCAATTCCAATGTTTCAGTGTTTTGTTTTGGCAGCTTTTGAAAAGAAGGCTTTCGTGGTAAAAACAAACAGTTTCAAACAAGACGTCTAAAAAATATAAAACATTATCAAAATACCCTATGTGTGTTTTTGTCATAACCGTTTGAAGAGAATCCATTTCTGGAAAGGCTTAAGTATATTGTATTATCGATATAACATCATTTTCCACTGATTTAACATTTATGTGTCCATTTCCAGGGTTTAGATTAAGATTGGGATTACCATACGAGTACGGAAAACGACTTTTGGACTAGTTGCGTACGATATTTTTCGCCATTATACTCTAAACTAAAAAAAAACAGGAAAGATAATACCAGGACCTATATATTTGAGCAACCTTGCGAATGGTTATACTATTGGGAAACGTCGAATTGGCCCATAATATGCTATCTACAGTAGTGAATATACTTAGTCTATTCTGTGCTTATACTCATAGTAGCTTATTATGGACACGTAGGAAACAATTTTACGTAAAATAACTTACTAAAAAATAGACCAAATATAAATTGGATAGCGACACTTGTGATACATTTATTGAAGAATTTAAAAATGGTAATCCATACTCAACTTTATTTTTAAACCATACACAATTTGTTGAACCATCTTTAATTACCTTTTATGGTTAATTAGAAATTTACAATGTTTTACGATTATGCACTAAATAAATGTTAAAGGTAATTTTCTTGTCCAAAGACGAATCACGAACGAATTCCAACAAAGACTGAAAAATGAAAAGAGAAATCTTAGAAACGCCTTTTGAATATCATCCTTCCGCTTTGAAAAAGAACATTTCTTGGAGTTTTAATCTCACAAAATCTTGAACACAATATCAAATATTGTAAGTATTTTCTTTTGGAAAGGACAAAACACATCATTGGATGATAAACAACGATTTTACTTTTGTTTCAGAAAATTTAATGTAATTAATAGTTAAAGGGTTTTAAACTTAGAGGTTCGGTATGTGATTGGTGACATATCCTGTTAAGTCTCGTGCCTATAACTAGGGTAATAACAGGTATTGATGCCGGAAAAATAAGTTTCAAATAAACACGTTCTCATACCAAATCTTTTATTAAATTAAAATTTTATCATTATTATTACGTTTAAAATTTAAAAAGAGTTTAAAACCTTTACGTAGATTTTGTAAAATAATTTTCTTTTTCTGTTAGTAATAACAAATCTACTTTCTTTAAAACAACACAC